GGGTGGGGGGGGGGTGGAGGGGGGGTACAAAAAAAAAAAAAAGATCACCCGTCGTACGTGATGGACTTTTAGAAAACGGGAAGTCACAAATGTAGATTTCTAAGGAAGACGATGAGTTCTGTGATTTCTGGGCAGCGTGACGCTTGCGTAATAATGGAAGGATCACGACCTTTTCCCTTTTCGGCTTTTCACAGTCCCCTCCCAAAGAATTACAACAGCAAGGTCAATTTTTTTTTTTTAATTTTTTGCCACCCACTTTTCAACTCAACTCAACTGTATTTATAGAGCACTTTAAAACAACCATCGCCGTATACAAAGCGACCACCGTCATCGAGCTTGCGACCGAATCGACTTCACCGGCTGCCCTCGATGCCTCGAGCGGATCTGAAAATCGCGTGTATTCCTCAGGTGTCAAACTCAAGGCCCGGGGGCCAGATTCTGGCCCGCCGCATCATTTTATGTGGTCTGTGAAAGTAAATCAAACATGTCAACTTTCTTGATTCTTGCTAAAATCTGGACCAAAATTTCAACTTCTCATTTATAAGTAATAAGAGAGATATTGTCAGCATTTTCTTGTCACCAAACCACTCATTACAAAAATGAGTTTGACACCCCTGCTTGAGTATTCGGTGTACGACGACAAAGAATTGACCTTGCCATTCCAATACTTTTGGAGGGGACTGTGCCGGTTGAGTATTGCGCCAAATTGTGCTCCCTAACGTGGCATCTGGACTCAAGTAGCGCGCATTCAATTGATGTGGACAGAACTAAATGAGACGTAGTGCCCCCTTTTTTTTTTTTTACAAGCCCCGTCGTTCTCCTTGAAGTGGCCCATACGGCGGAGGACAAAGCCGAAACGGGAAGTTCAACTGAATGATTAACAGCGTCGTGTTGACTTCTCGGCGGCCAAATGCGACCAAAACTGGTTGAACAAATAACTTTGCAAAAAGAAGAAGGAACAACGAGATAATGTTTGACTGCTCAGAATTTAAAAAAAACAAAAACAAAATAGAGCTTTTACCATCACAAGGAAATGAGTCTCATAGCGGAAGTGATGGAGGACACACACACACACACACACACGCGGGCGGGCGTGCACACACACACTAGTTTCAGTTCTCACTTTTAAGCGGGGTGAGTGGCGGTGACCGGAAAAATTGCTGCTTCCTGATTTAAGAGGATTCGGATCACTTTGAAGTGCACCATTAAACCAAATAAACGATCGGCAAATTAGGACTTCTCGTCCAATTTGGCGATGAGGGAGAAGGAAAATAAAGCACAGATCAATCATCGGGTTTATCTCTGGACAACCTCCTATTTTAGATTTGGGGGGGGCGGTTCAAGCTATTTACATGAAGCACAGGGAGAGGAAATGACCCCATCAATCATATTTCCATCACAGAATGTATGGAAATATGATTGACGCCAGTAACGTACAGCCGAATAGGAACTAACCCACAAGAAGGAAATGTGAGTGGAAGAAGAATTTGGTTCTAAAGAAAAAAAAAAAAGGGCCTTACACATTTATTTCTAGATAATTTTTATTTTATTTTATTTTTTTTTACAGTGAGTCAATAATTGATTCATTGCAACTAGAACAACGTTGCGGAAGCGTTCGTCTCGATGCATCACAAAATCGTCTTATTGCGCCGTTGACTGGATCACACCTGCGTCATCGACTTGTACTCTCGATTCCCGTTTCATATTGAAAAGAAATCCGGCAGTCTGCTTTCAACCGCCCGGGCTGCCGGTGTTGCCGAGGCAACGGTTTGAGGTTGGTACTTCCTGATTAACTGTCCGCTACTTCCTCCAAAACCCCACTTTGCAGGCTCGCTCTAATAGCGTCCTCTCTTGGATGACTTTATTGATTTGTTGATGTCGCTTTCAAGCTGTAACAAGCTAATGTTTCAGGAACTTGGCGAAGGGGGCGAGGGGGGGGGCATGATTTTTCACGCGACTCATTTTACCTTACAAGCTTTTGAAGTAATAGTCCAGTTTATTAAGAGTGGTGAATTGTATGTTCTATTTTTTTTTTTTTTGTTTGTTTCTAAAGAGAAAGGGAGGCGGGGTCAAGGAGGGGCGGGGGTTACCAGAGTGCGGCGAGCGGTAGCGGAAGTCCTCCTTGGTGAGCAGCAACAAGGCTTTTCCATTCATCTGGAAGGAGCCGCTGGTGATGGGCCGCAGGGCAAACTCCTTCTCGGCCCATCGCAGCCACTGGGCCACGTCGTCTCTGCTCCAGAACACCGGCTGCAAACCTGCAAAAGGGGGTGGGGGGCGAAAGGAAAGGAGAAGTTGGTTAAAGGGG